GCCGATCGGACGTCGCGACGGCGGTCGAGGAAAATTCGTTGTTCCGTGTTTACAGCGGCCCGGCCAGCCATCAGCTGTCGGCGACGGCTCTGTTGGGTAGTCCGGACGGCTCGCGACATCCTTTGGACGTGTGCGAGTTTACCGAGGAGGACTATCAGCATCACGGTTCGAACGGAAACGGCCACTACCAGAACGGCAGGTCCGGCTCTGGTCTCTGGGAATGTCTGATAGGATGCAGACGCCGTTTGGATCAGCATATGGCTCGAAGAAGGGTAACTAGCGTCCTTGCGACGAAAGCTCGACCTCGTGTTCGCGTTTTTTTCTAGCCGTTCGCGGCCTCGACGAACAGTTTTTCTCGGTCATTGCCGAGCGTACGCGCCGTTACGGATCGGACGCACGCGACCCGTGCCCTTCCGATCCCGTTGTCCGTGAAATCGATTCGCGTTCGCGCGTTCCCGAAGGTTGCGGAATCGCGCGTGCAACCTTCGCGCGCGAACGGAAACATCGGGCCACGATCGAACGCGCGACGAGAAAGGAAAGAGCGGAGGCGGTAACTAGACGGTTCGATTTCCGGTTGATCGGGAAATCGCGTTATCGTCCACGGCCGCTCGTCGCTCGTTTACCCTCCTTACCGTCGCGTTCCTTCGGATCGCTCTCGCCGCTGCCCTCGAGGTCGAACCACGCTATTTATATCGCGCGGGATCGTTGGATCTTGAACCATCGGTGCAGGAAGTTCAAGGCCGGATCGATACGACCTTCCTCCCTTCGCGCGTTTAGCGTTTAGCGTGTAACGCGACTTCTGCTTACGACGCGATCGTCCATTCTTGTTTTATCCAGGTGGAACAAGGCTTGAAGCTGTATCGCGCCCACAAACAACAGGCTGCAGTTCGCAAATGGAGAGGCGCTTTGAAAAACATCAGACAACGGGAAGACAAATTCGCCCTTCTCGGCTATCTCTATCAAGCTTACATGGACTGGGGAAAGTACAGGTACCTCTTGTACCGTCAAGCTTCATTCGCTCGATGAATTAGCGACGCGAGAAGACCGCGCCGTTTTCGTGCCTCGAATATAGAATAGCGCGGTCTACGCTTTGACGGCGCATTTGCATCGTATAATTAATACGAAACGCTGTCGTGCTTCGCGATCGGCTCGAACGAGCTCTTTCGAACCAGCCTGCGCTCTTCCGGTTTCTCTCGACCACGAAAACATAGCGACTTTACGGAATAAAACGAAAGATAGTTCGATCGGCAATTTAATCGTCTTAGAGAAAACCACTGACGATGTTTGAATTCGAATCTACAAACCGGAAAGAGAACGACTTAACAGAGAGATCGTAACCGGAAGAAAGCGCGTTCGGTTGGCCGAGTGAAACGGTAAGAAGCTCGAAGATCCTTGACACGGTAACGAAGCCTTTCCGTTTCCGTTTTCGTCGGTTTCTCGAGACGAAACTCGCGAGCTTCGTCGTTACGCTCGTTACCGTTCACGGCTACAGTCTAACGTGCTTTTTCCGTCCGTGCACTCGAAACGGACACACATATAGCGTACCGTTTCAGGGATAGCATCGACTTTGGACACAAACAACTGTGCATTTCCGAGGAGCTGGATTCGCCTAACATGCGCGCGGAGGCGTACTTGAATTTAGCGAGGGCGCACGAGAGGCTAGGCGCTCTCGATAGGGCCTTGGACTACGCGAGACACAGGTACTCGATTTTCACCTATCTAACCGATTAAACGAACGCGCCCTTCGTAACCTTTCTAACCGTTCGTCCGAATTAATCGGTGTCGACGAACCTCTGCGACGATCGCGCAGTTTGTACAACGAATGCGATCAGTGCGCGACCGCTGGATTGGTTCATCTGACCGTGGGCAGAGTCCACTTGGAGCTGGCGGGATTCTGCAAGGCTTTGGAAGCGTTCCAGAGAGCGCACAAAATTGCTCATTCCATTCAAGATCCTTCGCTGGAGTTGCAAGTAAGCCGAATCGTTCGAGCAGCGACGGACGAACGCGTAGAAACGCTCGATGATTGATTCGCAGGTGTACGTTGGTCTGTCGGAGTTGTTCTGCAGATTACACGACGCGGACAAAAGCGCGAGGTACGCGGCGCGCGCCTACGACCTATCCAGGAGTTTACAATTGGGCGATTTGAATTCTCGACATCACAGGGCAGCCCTGCTTCAGATGGCCGCGGCGCTTCGGAAAAAAGGCGAGCTCGGTGACGCCCACGACTATTGCTCGGTAAGTCCGACCCTTTAACGGCTTTGTACCCGCGAACGTTTGATCGTTCGACCGATTACTCGATGCAGGAAGCAACGCGACTCTCGCTCGTTTCCGGGGATCAAGCCAGCTACGCCAGAAGCATACGAATAATGGGAGACATTTACAGGAAAAAGTCCGACATAAACGTAAGTGAACGACGAATAATTTCGCTCGTATCGTCGACTACGTAATTTCCGATCACGTATGCCGTAGAAAGCGTTTCGGCAATACGAGAGCGCTATGGGGTCCGCGGCAGCGACCGGAGATCGACTCTGTCAAATGGAAGCGATGGACGGTGCCGCGAGGTGTCTCGAAGCGCTTCGACTTCAGCATAAAATATGCAATTGTCGTCCCCTCGAGTTCAACACGAGACTCCTCGAAGTTGCCGGATCGGTCGGTGCTAAGGTAACGTTTCTCGTTCTCGCGCTACCACGAGAGATCTCGTAACCGAGCTGTGTTCTCTTCTAGTTCCTGGTGCGAACCGTGAGATCGAGATTGTCGCGAATTTACGGTTCCCTCGGCGACGAGGAGCAGAAGGCTCATCACGAGAGATTAGCCGCGGCGATGGAGGAAGATTTGGAACTGCGGTGCGGTAGCTGCAACGAGCCGTTCGGTCTCGAGGCCGATTCTTTGGAGGCGCTTCCCTGCTCTCACATATTGCACGCCAGGTGAAACGAACGTTACAGCGTACGTACGTACTTGCGTACGACGTGATCATTGAAAGCGAACAATAAAACGTAGCGTCGATTCGTGTTCCATTCCGTACCGCTGCCTTCCGTTCCGTTCCATTCCCGTTCCGTTTCGATTCCCTTCGCGGCCGTGTAATCGAGACACGCGTGATTTACAGGTGCGCATACGACATCTTGAAGAGACGCGACAAGAAGAAGAAACGTCTGTGTCCCGACTGTCACAAATCCGTTAGTTCACGATTGTACCTGCATTGCGAAGACCCTCACGGCATGAGTACTTTGAATCATAGTTCCTTGAGTCTGGCGTCGTTGAGAGCCAGCAGTCTGGCCACGCTAGACGATTGTCACGCCGCTACGAGTAGCGTCTAAACGCGGCATCTCTTCGAAACGCGCGCGGATTTCCTTCGAGCTCCTCTATACGCGCTCCCTGATGCCGCGACCATCTCGCGCGAGTACGCCGCGCATGTCGCGAAACCTGCTGATGGTCGTTAACGACGAGCACGACAACCGATCTCTGCTCAAACTCTGCGGAGCTATATGCGCGACCAAACTCGCGCGTTCTGCCAATTAACGATTTAGCATTTAACGTTCTTTAACGCGGATCACCGATCGTTCCACTATTCAATTAGGATGAAGAAATTTTAAGAAAACTAGCACGATTCGATGAAAATTAATGGCAATAAAACTGCACATTCTGTTCATTCGTCTTTCTCGATCATTTCTACCTCTTCTCCTTTTCCTACATCCTCGAAAGCAACCTAACGCTCGCGTAGCTTCTTCACTACCGAATCTGTCGTATTCTGCGTTTCTACGAACGCGGAAACGTGACGAAACTGGCGAACCGATACGAAACGCGTAAACGATCGAACATTCTTCGATTTGAACGAAAATCGATTCTATTCGATTCGAATCGTGTATCGAATCGTTTGAAAATGTTTTCATGGAAACACGCGCGACATCTACGGTACGATTATGAATTTAGGGTAAAGACCGCCATGACAGCTGATGCTTTTTGTATCGCTTGACGTTTGGTCAGAACATGTCATTTTGTACACTTAATTTCGACAAATGGCAGACTTCTTTTTCGGTTTTGCTACATCGCTTGCAGTAAGTAAGCTCGTCTTTCTCCGATATAACTCTACCGACAAATTTTCTTTCGGAAGACTGGAAAACGCTGCGAAAAAATAACGGAAACGTATGCAGTTTCGACGAAAATCGGATCGTGGTTTTGTCCGTGAACACAGAATTAAAATTGTCGCGTAATTACTGTGTAAAGAGTAATCGCTTAAGCGACACAAAATTATTAATCGTTCTTAATGTATTGTTCGTATTTTTCGTCCCGCGTGTGTACGTGAACTGTTTCTAAAATGCGCGCTACGTACCATTACCTCCTCGAATAGTCATGGAGGTACGTCGCATAACCTAACCAATGTTTCGATCCCTTCAAAGGTCATTAACACTGTTACGTTCGTGTTCGCTATCGTTACCCCCGGTTTTCTTCGGCTCCGTTCTTTCTCGTTCTTTTTCTTTTCTTTCAAGATTTTACGCGCATTGCCTTTGCACGATTAGAAAAACACACGATACTTCGATACCACTTACTTATCTTTATTATTCTTTAATTTCTTTCGCTTATCATTCGAAAAAGTTATTTGTCGCTTGTAACGTACATCGTTTGTATTTGTTTACTTATTGTTATTTATGATCCGTACAGAATAGTAGTTTAGAAGATGGTTTGGATTATCCGTTGGATGATGATATCGGAGAAGAGGAGGAATATGATGCACTAAACGATGAAACCTTTGGTTCTGAAGCTACTATCGGGGACTGGGAGAAAGATCATGAAAAACTTGCAGAGATTACAGAGTCCAGTCGTCCGCATCACCAAAATGCTATAGAAAAAAAAGTAAATTCCAATCGATAAATCTTGTTGTGCTTCCATCTCTATGCTTCTAAGCGAATAACTGAAGTTTGATAACAATAATTATTGCAGAATGGAGTCCATGCCGATATAGAAGATAATTTATCTCATTTGGTATTGGACGAAAAAGAAGGTATCGTTCCTCGTCCTGGAGTATGGGATAGCCCTTCTACACTGTCCGCTCCTAAACCTCGCCCACCTTTAACTTTACCGTCGACGTTAACGAACGTATGCACCGTCGAAGAATTGGAGAAAGGTCTTATCGCGAATAAACCTCCTCCAGGATTGAATAAACCTGTTCAGACGCAACAACAGCAACAACAACAAAAGTCCGATGGCTCGCTTTTATTCGATTCCATATCCGCTCCGCCGCGTTTTCCGCCGGGGTTGGGTATACCGCCACCGCATCCGGTTAGTTTACCACCAAACATGAGGTTTCCACCCCCTCAATTTGTTCATCCTAGACTGCTGCCCAGTAAGTGCATCGCTTTTCGATTAAGCTTTTAACATCGATCGCCAAAACGGACGTAATTTTCTCGTTAGATAAAACCAGTTATTTCCGTAGATCAAACTGGAAATGTACTGAGATATCCCGTAGGGGCACATTTAATGCTACCGCACGCTGCGCAAAGACAGCCTATACATGGCTCGTTTTGCAATACTTTTCCTGTAAGTTCTATTTCGTAGTAAATACGTCGACGTGATTGTTTTAAATATAACATAAATTGTTTCTGATATCGGACATCTGTTTGCAGCAACCTCCTCCGCATTCGAATTTAGGTCATCCTCCGTTTTTACGCCCCGATCATGGCATGATGCCTCCTTTTTCTAGCAATCAAAGTAATCAGCAACAACAACAACATTCGTTTCCACATTCTGCTGGTCAAAGAAACCAGAATAGGTCTTTTCATCATGGAGAACAGCAAGGAAATCATCAGCCCTTTTTTAAGAATAACCAACATCATCGTAACTACGATCGAAATAATCAGCGACAATATTATTATCATCACCACTGTCAAGGGATAAACGGGGTAACCAACTCTGGCGAATACGACGAATATGCCGATCTTATGAGTAATCGAGAAAAACAATGGTTAATTAATATCCAACTGCTCCAATTGAACACGAACGAGCCATACGTCGACGATTATTACTATACCGTATTCTGCGATAAAAAGAACAAACGGAACACGAATCAAGATCAGAAGGATAAAAAACAGAATAGCAACGACAACAATAATGGTTTCTACAGAGATAACAGGTAATTTATTTTTTTCTTCTTTTCTTCGACACTTCTATCGCATATTCGCTAGAATAAAGTTCTGTTAATCGCAGAGATCGGGAACAGCAGCCTCACCATGTACTGACGAGGCCGGTATACACGCCGATGCAGTTTGAAAATTCTTTAGGAAAACTGCAGTTCGCCAGTGTAATTGCACCGCGTAAAATAATCGATATGGATGTAGTTCCAAATAGTGATCCTCAGTTAACTACGCAAATACAGCAAAAAGATACGAAAAGAACAAGACAGTTGTTGCTTGAGATTGAAAGGGTATTTATTTGTTCTTGAAATCAGCGGACTCGATTATTTTGCGGTTTTACTTCATCTATGGTCTGTTGTTTCTCATTCATTTCAGTTATACATAATACAATTAAAAATCGAAGATCTACATAATCCTTTGGCTCTGCTTAATGATCAACAAAATCAAGAAGGACAAAATAATTCGAACTCCGATAAGAAAACTACCCCAGAATTAGTAAACGCGATGTTACTGTCTTTCCTTCAGCATATACAAGACGATAAGTTAGCAAGTATGCTAAGTATTCGGAAAGGAAAGGTGAGCGCGCTCGAACCCATCGATTTTTCTGTTTAATGGATTCGGTTATCGAATGTATATCTTCTGTGTTATAGACATTGTTATTGAGGTTTCTACCGTACGTGAGCGAAACGGAATATCGTATTCAACTGGAAGAACTGTGGAACGCTATATTCCGAGGACTAGCCGTAATAGGTCGTAGAGATTCTGATCTGTTGATAAGCCTGCACACGGAATTTCAACGTTGGTTCAATGCTGTACAAAATTTTGGCACGATACTTCGATTAGCTCGTTCGCTGTCCGACTCCGTTAGTCAACCGATCAAGATCAATAGTTTGGCTTTCGCTCTTACGAACAAGGTTTGTTTACAATTCTATTGAAGCAACGCTTTAGTTTGTCGGTTTTTTTTTCTTTTCAAATCGGTTTCTACATTCGAACGCTTCTCTGTTTAGTTTGGTGTATCCGTAATTGCCTCGATGCTTGAACAAGCAGAAAACTTGTATCCTACGGATGATTCCTTATCTACGGAATGGTCCTCCTTCATAGCAAACATCATCGAAACAATTGGTGAATCTCCGCCATGCGTTGCACCCTGTCAACCGATTGCTGCGAATACGCTTGATCAGCACTTAAATCGACTATCTCATTTGAAAAGCGGAAGGTACACGAACCTGGAACTTCTACTAACCGATGCTAATCCTTCCCGATAATCGAGCATCATGACACGTTTTCTGGCATTTCATACAAACCTGCTTTTTGTTACGATCGAGGAAACAAATTATGCTGAAGAGGAAGCGCAGCAGATACTTTAACGCTGCTACATTATTATCGTTATTAATCGAGTATTTTTTGCATACGACGATTGTATTTTATCATAATCGATATTTTTATTTTACAGAGTAGATCTATGCTTTTTGCGCGTATTCCAAACGCATGGGTACGGCAGTGTCAAAGATAACGTGTTCGATTCGACGTTTTGTTGATTTTGTGCCACGAATGCGTTAACTTTTCTTTTTTATTCCCTTTTTTTTTAATTACGAGTCTACTAGGTAAAACTGATATCGATTATGTTCAACGCATAAACTATACGTGCTATCTTTATAGCTTTTTGTTCGTAACGTTTCTTTACTTTTCTCCCCGTCTTCTTTTCTTGTAAAATACGTTTCCAGTTAAATTTGCACGATATTAAAATATAAGTTCATCGATGTCGTTTAAACGCAAACGGTTCATAATCGTTTTTTCCGCGCGTTAAATCATAATGATTCGCGATCTCGAAGGTATGTAATACATTGTTTGAACTTTACTTGGTCTCGTTATCGTCGACATTATTCGTAGACGAAACAATCTTTCCCGGAGTAAACACGAAAAAGTATGCTGTGATTTAATGTAAATTTCTTCGGATCTTCGGTTTTCCCATTCTTCTCTTTTTCTCGTTCTTCTTTTCTCTTTATGTAAACGGTCTCATATTTCTGCCAAACGATCGATAACACGCGCGTAAACCGAAGAAAAATTAAGTGATATAGCGATCGTAGATTTTTAATCTTGTTTAAGATTTCAATAAGAACCGCATATTATTATACGAGAAATTAATTTAACGAAATAACGTTTGATCTTTGCGCAAGAATAGTTATATTTAAAAATAGCATAGTATGTTCGTTTATATTACTTTTTTATGGCCCGACAGCACAGGAATCGTATATGCAATCATTATATAAGTTTCTATTTCGAGGGCAAGAGTAATGCAGTTTTTATACGTGTAATAATGTTTAACAATTCGAATAACAAAACTGCATTTTTCGTCGTGACAAGCATCGGCGTTAGCGACGCACGATTTCAAAATCTTGTTTATAGTTTCACCACTTCTCGATGCGTGTTCATCGAAACACGATTGTTATCGGCTAAAACGTTTGCGTACCTATTTCGTGATCGTATCAATATCCGCTCGTCGCCAGAAACCGCTGCGACGAGTACGGCGAGAGCGCGGAAAGCGATTTGAATTATACGACGACATGGCCTTTAGTATACAGTATAAGCGGTTACTTTTTATCACGGTACACATTAATAAATTCTTATGTACATTTAGCTTGTACATAGAACGACTCTGATGAATGAATGACTTCATATATTTTGTAATTGGATGCGAAAGAAAATTTATTTTTCGCTTCCATGACGTAATGTTATGTCATTTTTGCAAAGAAATGAAAAGATTATAAAAAAAAAAAGGAAAAAAAGATATGATAAAAACAAGATGGATCGCGTTATTTTTTACAATGTCTACAGCGATCGACGAGGTATAATCCGGCATTTTCGAACATCCACACGATAGCATGTATCGATAAAGTTAAGTCTCGCGCTAGATCGCGGTCCAGTACTAATACTTGTTCTCGCAATTAGATCCTGATTTCGGAGTTGTACGAGATTCGTTTCGTAGAACATGTGTTGCACCGTGTCTAACCGAATTACTATATTTTACAAGCTTCCACCGTTTTATCTTTATTATTCGTCATCGTAATTTAGGCATACCGTGCGGGTATAATGTCGAATGTAGAGATTTCTGTTTACGTTGCGGACCGATCCTACTCGAAATTTCATGGAGAACTAATTATACTTAGCATTTTGTAAGATAACGATCAAACGTTAGCCGAGTTAAAGTAAGCACGTTTCGATTCCTTACTCTCGGATAAAGGATATTTGTTGAAATTGTACAAATTTTTTAATCTTTGAAAGTAAACTGTATCATAAAGTTTAATTCGCGCCTTTCGTTCATTCGTTTTTCTCGACCACGAAAATCATCGGGTACGTAAGTACGTGAAACGAAACAGACTCATTATAATAACGGTGTTGACGCGTACGCATAGATTTATGTGCGCATACGATTCCATGTACGTATTAACTATGATTATATACCCTAGGATTCTTTTTTTTCCTTTCGAAGACAACAGTAACATTTTGTACACATATTATCTTGATCCATACGGTACGTTACGCGAAGTTCACTTTCGTTATACCGAAATACAAACGAAGCAGAGAGGAATTTCGCAGGGATAAAGAAAATGGGAGAAAGGAAAAATTTGACAACGTCTCGGTACACGATAGGTAAACCGAACCGAAATGGAAAAGGTGTGTTTCATTTTTCTTTAAAGATATATTTTTATAGAAATACAGCGTTTATTGCGTTCGCGCGAGGTGATCATAAAGATGTAACGAAATATGAGATTATCCTTACCGTAGGAAATACCCGGGAAAAGTAGTATTTCGTATTACCGTATGTCCCACGATGTCCCGATACGCAAAGTTCGATAGAATCGGGTATTATATATACATTTTTAATGTGATCGAGAAAAATAGTTCTATTTAATATATGTGTGTACAGAATTGATATACTGAAAATTAAAATCTCTAATAAATGTTTTACATCCTATTGTAATTCGTTATTCGATTTTCGTGCACGTAACGGAATTTCCTCAAATATACATACAATAATTACGCGATTATCGATAAGCGAAAATTATTACTTTACCGCGATATATTCTGGCACGTACATTGTACATATTTTATCGCTCTCAATTACACAATATACATATATCTATTGTATAAATATGTTGCATCATATGTATAGAGTAACAGTAGAAACAGCAGAGATGGGACGCGTAGAAAACAGTGGTAAGTGGCAGAGAGAAAATTCCTGCACTACCGACACAGAAATCTGTGTCGACGAAAATGACGTTCGCGCTTCGGTTCTAATTGGCGCTGTTGTCCGCGCAACGTTTTCTCGTTCTCGCGTGCTGTTCGTTCTGGTACGGATATTCTATTCACGAATAATAACTGATGCGACGGCTTTCTTTTTCTAGTACATGTCACTCGGTATCAGTGGTTTCTTCATAAGTTATTTGTTTGATCCGAAACGTGAAAATTCTACTCGATAACCTAGCGATTCTTATCCTCAGGCGGTTGTTTCCCATTGGCAGGTGTTTCATCGTTATAACGGCTGAAATGAATATTTTTCTTTGGAAAGGTCATTTCGCTTTGTCCGAGAAATTGCAACCACTCTTCGTTTGCTCTATGGCAAAGTGTTAAAATACACTGGCAATTGATCAAATACACTTCACGAATGAATGCGAGCGACGTGCAATCTGTAGTTAGCAAAAGTGTGTGTTGGTGAATCAAATTTTAAACGAAATCGAGTAAGTAAATCTGTTACCAAACAGGATACTTTAACGTTCCTAGCATTAAATAAGTGTAACGTATTTTAATTCCTTTCCTGTCAGCTGCTGCCTGTTTTTCTTTCGCTTATTCTTTGTGCTTTTTAAAATTTCACAATACTTTATTCTTAATATTACATCTTATATTTCCACCCATTCAAACAAACAGATTATAATACGTTTTATTTCATACCGTTTATTGGTTTTGGAATCATAAAATTTTATAATCTTGCTGTGCCTAAGTTACTGGATGCTATAAACTGTAAGTCTAAAGTACGTAGTCTGTAAAACGTACATTGGAAACAATAATATTATGCAAAACTTCCAAGGGTTTATTTGAACTGCCTTTAGCGACTAAATCATCTTGGTACCACCTGTTGATTTGCTTCTAAAATTAGAGCACTTTAATGTACTGTTATGTTCAGCCCGTTTACATTTATAGGTTGAAACGTCAAAAGATTTGTCTGCTTATAACTCCTTAAACTTTTTCTTAAACTTTAAGAAATTTTAATTACTTAAATGTATACACATAAGTAGGCATACAAAAGCATAAAACTTCTTGACATTTTTGCAGGAAAAAAGATGTACGACAGAAGGTAACGATTAAAGAAGATTAAACTATGGCCAACAGAAAAGACAAATCGTCCGCAGGTTTTGTGAGTATTCGATAGCCTTGGAATTAATAGCATAAATGAAAGTAGTATACGTGCTACTGTTAAATATGCATAAAGTGGAATCTATCGCGTTCAATTACATAAAGAAACGTAGGTGCGACCGACGGTAAAGCTAAAGTCGATGCGCTTTTAACGCTCGTTTCTGTAACGTATTCGCGCTTTCGGAACGTATGAAATTAATTGGATAACAAGGTCGCGCGAGATCGAATTAACGACGAAAAGGATAATGGAGTCTATGTGACGCGTTAGAACCACAGAAAATGAAGTCGGAATTCATTAAATGTAAATGCCAGCTGACAGTGATACGACGCTAGGCGTAAATGTATGTTGAGTTTCCTGTCGTACAGTTATCGGTTGTTTAGCAACGTAATGCGATAACGAAAAAAAACTGCACTTGAAATGGGTTTCAGTTTCAAGAACAAGTATCGAATGGTAAATATAAGGTTTCGTAATAACGAAGCTAACTCGCTCCTCTGTTAATCCGAGTATCGTCTAAAATCGACGATGACCATGTCAAGTTTTCGAACTTGGTAGACGACGAGGAAAAAAAAACACTATGTCATTCCATATGAGTCTCGATGGTGAATCGGCCAAGGTGAATTGTTCCTTGCACGGAAAAGATTACATTCTCGAAATCGCGCCGCAAACCGTACACAGATATTAGCACGAGGTAGCGGATTATCACGGTCGCGACGGTTTTACGCGTCGACGCGTATTGGATTCTTTCGGTCGCTCTTTCTCCTTCCTTTTCTTATACGGCGAAACGTCGAATCGACGAAATTCGATAAAATCTGAGCCCGGAAACGCAGGCATATTATCGACCCGAAACAGAATGTTTTCAAGAATTCCCGATAGACTTGCGACGAAAACCGGTCTTTCCTTCCTTCGCGTTCCACATGTTAAAACTTTCAAATTTTCTATCCGATGTTCACCGAATCGAGAACAAAGTTGCGTCGCGCGAAAGAAGAAACGATGAGGATTATATTCGAAAAGCGCGAATGAACACAGATAGATAGAAGATAAACGGGAAAGAAGAAAAGGGAACGAAAGGAATTACACGGCTGTCGGTCGCAGTCGGTTACATCATCGACCGTTCGCGCAACTGATCTCATCCGTGCGCGCAACTTCTATTTCTTTTTTATTTTCGTTTGCGAGAAGCAACGCCGCGTCCAACAATACAATCGAGTTTAATTCGCGACATTTCGCGCGGAACAAGCTCGTTTCGGTCGTAGTCGCTGGCGTAAGTTTTAAAAATGATTCGCGCGACTGGAACACATTGTTATTCGCCGAGCAGATTTATCATGCTTTCTGTATTTTCTTTTGTTTTCTTTTCGTTGGACTAGAATGCGCTTCTGCATTGGGGAGGTAACACTTTTGCGCGAATTACCGGAACCTTGAGCTATTTACAGGCATGACATACTTGTTCGAGCGGACGGTGACGTAGAAAACATAGGACGTGAGTCAGTGGAACCGATGACGGTCATGTGGAAGCGTTACCGATCGCTAACATCCAAATATAATAATTGGCCAGCGTTTGCGGGACAACCGTTGTTGGAATACGCGTACAGAATAGTCGTAGAAGGAAGAAGCGGAGGCGGGAAGAAAGTTAGCGAGTAGCATGCGATAGTCGAGTGATAAGCAGCGGGCCATGGCACGGAGAAACGGTTCCTCGTTCCGACGATGAACATCGAAAGCCGCGATCGCGCGCTGCTACGCGACTGGATTTGATTCGAACCGACCGGACGTGGGTAGAGAGTCCAGCGATCGAGTACGCACGCGCATTTCTCCACCGAGTCTCCTTGGGCCAACGCGATCTCGATCTTCTTCCCTTCTTTCGGCGCGTTCGATGACTCGCCACTCGGCACTCGCCTCTCGTCGCTGATTCCGTTACCTCGATCTCGCCTACCACCTCACCGTTTCAGACGCAACTCTGGGGATCGCGTTATTCTCGTCAGTCGAACGTCGATCGTCGGTCGATCACGGCAAAGGAATTCGAAATAGTTGCTGACTGATCTTTATCTCTCGCGATAATCGCGAGGTGCGTTGTCCGCTAATATCACGATAACGTCGCATGAAATAATCAGTTGCATCGAATATCGCGAACGTTCGAAACACCAACGTTTATTCCTGCAATAAATCGTGAGAACGTGCATAACGTAAAGTGTTCGTGATTTTCGATGAATCGCGTGGTTGATGCGCGTTACCGTCATCACCGAAAAGAAGACGTTGCTCCGTTCGTCGTTTTACAAGATTTGATTCATGATTACGGATTGGGTAAGATTCCCTTCGTTTACCTCTAACTTGTTACGACGTAGGAATTAAGAGAAATAGAAAGGAGGAGAAAGAGTTTCGATCATCGACCTTGATAGTTTAGAACTTAGATGAAAGGCGATCGAATGCCGAACGCGTGCCGAGCTTCCGTATCCGAACGTCCGGTAGAATCGGATCGCACCACTGACTGACAATGTCGCATAATCGCGAAACGAAATCGTGTCCGATCGATTTAACGAATTCGATGGTTTTTCAGCTGGATACATGGTTCGGTCGGCCAAAAAAATCTGGGCGTGGAGGTGGGGTCAGAAGTGGTTCGGGAAACAACACGATACCCCGGCCCCACTCCGGCGATGATTTCAACGAGATCGAACAACAACGTTGTATCATCGAGAGGATGGATAAAGAAACGATGAACGACAAATTCGAAGAGATGTTGGTGAGTAGAAGAATCGACCGAGGTGAAATATCGAAAGTCAAAATATAAGGTATACCTTCGCGAAGCATCGTTCGACGATACACGATACTCTTAACCTGCTTTTTCCTCGTCCGTCAAGGCCAATATGAATCTCACCGAGGAGAAGAAGGAACCGTTGCGACAGCAATCGGAAACGAAGAAGAAGGAAATGTTGGTGCTGCATTACAAAGGCAGCATACAGGAGAACAGGTCAAAGTTCGACAAACCGGCGGATTACATACAGTATTTGGCACAACCCGACTTGAGCGTAAACAAAATTTATAACTGCGTCGAATCATTGAGAATAGCGTTGACCAACAATCCTTTGAGTTGGGTTCAGGAGTTTGGTACGAAAGGATTGAAACAGGTTTTAGCCACGCTCAACGAATGTTATAGGAAGTAAGTATTCCCGATCGAAAAATACCAAGAGATCGTTGCATTCTGTCGCGCGTGACATCGGTATATTGTCCTGTCAAAAATTTCTAATGTGCGTATTGTTCTATTCCAGTGCCTTCATATATTACGATAGGTAATTTATGTAAAAATATTCTATTTGCTTCAATTTTATTAGCGACTTAGATTCCTTTTACGCATCGTTCATTTTTATTTTTGCTCCTTAGCTTTCGATATGGATGCGCGTGTGGGCGTATGAACAAAATAGAAAGAAAGAGAGGGAGAGAGAGAGAGTAAAAGCGAGAGTCCAAAATATTATTTTCGTAGACAATATTGTCCAGATCTTGAATTTGCGAATTATTTTTTACGCTAGTGATCGATCTGTTTTTCAGTGAGAGATTACGGTTACTCGTAGCGTTACGTGGCAACAGGACGCACACTTTCCAATTTTTCTTTTTTATTCTTTTGCATGATAAGTGGCCTGTCCGTATAATATTGCGCGCATCGATGTTCCGTTTGAACGACTCGCTTGTTTGACTTGTTATTCGAACAGTCACGCAGCTTTCGACGAACGACCGTTAATTATATATTTATTTCATCCACGAAAGTTGTCCACCGCTGAAGCGATTCTTCTCTGTCCCATTGCAGCGACAACAGATACGAGCGCATACAGTACGAATGCATCCGATGTTTAAAGGCCATCATGAACAACACCGTTGGCATAAAGGAGATGTTGGCTCATCAAGAGGCGCTTACGATTGTGGCTAGGTCGTTGGAGCCGACGAAGCCATCTGTCATGTCCGAGGCTGTGAAACTACTTGGAGCCGTTTGCCTCATATCTAGCGATAGTCATAAAAAAGTTCTGGACGCGATCACCATGAACGGCGAATTTAAAGGAAGAGAGAGGTTTTTACCGATAGTACAAGGACTGATGAACAAGAAGAACGAAAATTTAAGAGTATGTTCTTTTCGTTTATTCGCTTCCCCTTGTTTTCTTTTTGCTCGATGACGCGCACCTTGAAATGATCCGCGTTCTCGCGACAGGTGGAGTGCCTTCAACTGATAAATTCCATAATCTCGTCGGCCGAAGAACTGGACTTTAGGTTACATTTACGAAACGAAATTATGCGAGTCGGTCTAGCGGATATTTTGGAGACATTGGAAAAAGACGAGTCGGAGGATCTGGCGAGGCACTTGAAGATTTTCAGCGATCACAAGGAAGAGGATTACGAAGAGTTCGTACAGCGATTCGATCACGTTCGATTGGAGCTGGACGACGTCAATGATTGTTTCGAAGTGATTAAAAATATGGTGATGGAAACGTCCGCGGAACCTTACTTCTTATCGATACTGCAACACCTGTTATTCGTCAGAGATGACGCGTTAGTGAGGTAAGGAAAGCTGAACACTCTATCGATGATGGAACGAAATGCTTTTCGAACGTCGCTGTATCTTTTGTTTGTTTCGGCAGGCCGGCCTACTACAAACTAATAGAAGAATGCGTGTCGCAAATAGTGTTGCATCGTTCGGGCTGTGATCCAGATTTTAGCGCGACAAAACGTTTTCAAATAGATGTACAACCGCTAATAGACACTCTGGTGGAAAAATCACGAGCAGAGGAGGAAAGAAGACTGGTCGAAGTGTCGCAGAAATTAGAGGAAGCAATAGCGAGAAAGCAAGAGGCCGAAGCGAAACTTCAGCATGCGGAAAACAAAATCAGGGAGTTGGAACAAGGATCGGGGAGGTCGGGTAGCGGTAACGTGGTAAGCTCCGGATGCGATCAACTCGCGATTAGAAGAGTGCGCTTTTTCTTCTAATTTCTCATGGTTTACGGGATTTATGCGTAGAAAGGTGGTACGAGTGCGCCGATTATGTCTGGATCAGGACCTCCTCATCCGATGTTTAAAGGCCATCATGAACAACACCGTTGGCATAAAGGAGATGTTGGCTCATCAAGAGGCGCTTACGATTGTGGCTAGGTCGTTGGAGCCGACGAAGCCATCTGTCATGTCCGAGGCTGTGAAACTACTTGGAGCCGTTTGCCTCATATCTAGCGATAGTCATAAAAAAGTTCTGGACGCGATCACCATGAACGGCGAATTTAAAGGAAGAGAGAGGTTTTTACCGATAGTACAAGGACTGATGAACAAGAAGAACGAAAATTTAAGAGTATGTTCTTTTCGTTTATTCGCTTCCCCTTGTTTTCTTTTTGCTCGATGACGCGCACCTTGAAATGATCCGCGTTCTCGCGACAGGTGGAGTGCCTTCAACTGATAAATTCCATAATCTCGTCGGCCGAAGAACTGGACTTTAGGTTACATTTACGAAACGAAATTATGCGAGTCGGTCTAGCGGATATTTTGGAGACATTGGAAAAAGACGAGTCGGAGGATCTGGCGAGGCACTTGAAGATTTTCAGCGATCACAAGGAAGAGGATTACGAAGAGTTCGTACAGCGATTCGATCACGTTCGATTGGAGCTGGACGACGTCAATGATTGTTTCGAAGTGATTAAAAATATGGTGATGGAAACGTCCGCGGAACCTTACTTCTTATCGATACTGCAACACCTGTTATTCGTCAGAGATGACGCGTTAGTGAGGTAAGGAAAGCTGAACACTCTATCGATGATGGAACGAAATGCTTTTCGAACGTCGCTGTATCTTTTGTTTGTTTCGGCAGGCCGGCCTACTACAAACTAATAGAAGAATGCGTGTCGCAAATAGTGTTGCATCGTTCGGGCTGTGATCCAGATTTTAGCGCGACAAAACGTTTTCAAATAGATGTACAACCGCTAATAGACACTCTGGTGGAAAAATCACGAGCAGAGGAGGAAAGAAGACTGGTCGAAGTGTCGCAGAAATTAGAGGAAGCAATAGCGAGAAAGCAAGAGGCCGAAGCGAAACTTCAGCATGCGGAAAACAAAATCAGGGAGTTGGAACAAGGATCGGGGAGGTCGGGTAGCGGTAACGTGGTAAGCTCCGGATGCGATCAACTCGCGATTAGAAGAGTGCGCTTTTTCTTCTAATTTCTCATGGTTTACGGGATTTATGCGTAGAAAGGTGGTACGAGTGCGCCGATTATGTCTGGATCAGGACCTCCTCCGCCACCTCCGCCGCCTCCTCCGCCTGGTGGTGCCTCCTTACCGATGGGAGGAGGACCGCCACCTCCTCCGCCTCCGCCGCTTCCAGGTATGGGAGGACCACGTCCACCTCCGATGCCCGGATCCATGGGACCACCCCCACCACCCATGCCTGGTATGGGTGGACCACGACCACCGCCACCGATACCTGGAGGACCTATGCCACCGCCGATGATGTTCGGTACCCCAGTCGGTCCGGCTGCTCAACCGCTACCCTACGGACTGAAACCGAAAAAGAAGTGGGAAGTCGATGCTCCACTGAAAAGAGCGAATTGGAAGGCCGTGAGTATCACTGAACGCCTGTTATCGTATTTTTGTTGAAATATTTCCAAAACGGGTAACGCGTTGTAGATTTTACCGCACAAGCTTACCGAAAAATCGTTTTGGACGAAAGTGCAAGAGGATCGGTTAGCGAGTCCCGAGATACTGGACGGATTGGCACAAAGGTTTGCGTCTAAACCGACTGGAAAAAAAGTCGACGACGTCGTGGACAAGTAAGTCGAGTTAACGTGCGAATCATTCCGCGAATGAATCTTTAACGAGATTTTACTTTCGTCGCGTAGGTCGGCCTCCACGAAGAAAGTGAAGGACCTAAAAGTTCTCGACGGCAAAGCCGCGCAAAACATACTTATACTTTTAAGTGGCACTTTGAAACACGCGTCGTACGAGGAGGTTAAGTCTGGCTTGCTGAAGTGCGAAGGAGCCGTTATCTCGGATAATATATTACAAGGATTGATACAGTATTTACCACCGCCCGATCAATTATCCAAGTTGCAAGCTTACAAGGATCAGTACGATGACTTGACGGAAGCCGAACAATTTTGCGTTACCGTAAGTATTATCGTTTAGTCTTCGTTCACGCTTCGATTAAACGTTATCGAAAATCAACAGATATCGACGATCAAAAGGCTGTTGCCAAGACTGAGATCGTTGAGTTTTATGCTGCGGTACGAGGAATTGGTGCAAGACGTGAAACCAGATATTGTAGCGGGCACGGCGGCTTGCGAGGAAGTGAAGGGTAGTAAAAAGTTTGCGAAAATTCTTGAACTGATCCTACTGCTCGGCAATTACATGAACTCTGGCTCGAAGAATGGTCAAGCGTTTGGATTCGAAATTAGTTTTCTCACAAAGGTTCGTGGATGATAACGCTTGCACCCGCACGATCGAGATTGGCTAATCCATGTTCAACGAATACGCGTTATTCGCGACGCAGTCTAAAGATCGTTTTGTGTCTCTTTTTAGCTGACCAGCACGAAAGATATCGATAACAAGCAAACTCTTATGCATTATCTGGTGGACACGATAGAACGAAAATTCCCGGAGTGTCTTAGCTTCTCGGAAGAGTTATCGCACGTTGACAGGGCGAGTCGAGTCTCGTTGGAAAACGTTCAGAGAACTTTGCGACAAATGGATAGTAACATACGAAATCTCGAGCAAGATCTGTCGAACGCCAAAATTCCTCAATCCGAAGAGGATCGATTTGTCGAAGTTATGGGTGTATCCTTTTTGTCTTGAACGCGTCTAGTATAGTCTGTGACCGATTTTTAGTTCGGTGATAAAAATTAATTTTCCTTAATGACGCCATTTCACAGCCGTTCGCGAAAAAGGCACGCGAATCGTACGAGGTTATGCAGAACATGTTCAAAAATATGGAAACGTTGTACAGCGAAATTTCCGAATTTTTCTCTTTCGACAAGCAAAAGTACACGATAGAGGAGTTCTTCGGTGATATAAAAACGTTCAAGGATGATTTCGTCGTAAGTACTAACAAAATAAAAAGACTAGAAGAAGGAAAAAGGAGCGGACCGTAAGAGAGCCGTAACACATTTTCTTTCGTTCACATTGCCGTTATCGCGTTTTTTGCAGCAAGCGCAGAGGGAAATAATAAAATTGAGGGAAGGCGAGGAAAAGCAGAGGAGAGCGAGGGAAGCGCGCGAGAAGGCCGAAGCGGAGAAAGCGGCTCGGGCAGCGCGCAAACGCGCGCTCGTCGACATGAACGCGCACGAAACTCAGGAAGGCGTTATGGACAGCTTGATGGAGGCACTGCAAACTGGTTCCGCGTTCAGTCGACCGGATCAACGACGCAAACGGCAAACGCGCGCCGCTGGTGGTAAGTTGTACAGGACTGCGTACTCTTCGACGATATCTATGAAGAAGGAGAACGCGCGTCGTCGAAAGTTGCACGTCGCTAAACTAATGCACGAATCGAGAGAAGCCGAGCGAAGTGGATGATAACGCTTGCACCCGCACGATCGAGATTGGCTAATCCATGTTCAACGAATACGCGTTATTCGCGACGCAGTCTAAAGATCGTTTTGTGTCTCTTTTTAGCTGACCAGCACGAAAGATATCGATAACAAGCAAACTCTTATGCATTATCTGGTGGACACGATAGAACGAAAATTCCCGGAGTGTCTTAGCTTCTCGGAAGAGTTATCGCACGTTGACAGGGCGAGTCGAGTCTCGTTGGAAAACGTTCAGAGAACTTTGCGACAAATGGATAGTAACATACGAAATCTCGAGCAAGATCTGTCGAACGCCAAAATTCCTCAATCCGAAGAGGATCGATTTGTCGAAGTTATGGGTGTATCCTTTTTGTCTTGAACGCGTCTAGTATAGTCTGTGACCGATTTTTAGTTCGGTGATAAAAATTAATTTTCCTTAATGACGCCATTTCACAGCCGTTCGCGAAAAAGGCACGCGAATCGTACGAGGTTATGCAGAACATGTTCAAAAATATGGAAACGTTGTACAGCGAAATTTCCGAATTTTTCTCTTTCGACAAGCAAAAGTACACGATAGAGGAGTTCTTCGGTGATATAAAAACGTTCAAGGATGATTTCGTCGTAAGTACTAACAAAATAAAAAGACTAGAAGAAGGAAAAAGGAGCGGACCGTAAGAGAGCCGTAACACATTTTCTTTCGTTCACATTGCCGTTATCGCGTTTTTTGCAGCAAGCGCAGAGGGAAATAATAAAATTGAGGGAAGGCGAGGAAAAGCAGAGGAGAGCGAGGGAAGCGCGCGAGAAGGCCGAAGCGGAGAAAGCGGCTCGGGCAGCGCGCAAACGCGCGCTCGTCGACATGAACGCGCACGAAACTCAGGAAGGCGTTATGGACAGCTTGATGGAGGCACTGCAAACTGGTTCCGCGTTCAGTCGACCGGATCAACGACGCAAACGGCAAACGCGCGCCGCTGGTGGTAAGTTGTACAGGACTGCGTACTCTTCGACGATATCTATGAAGAAGGAGAACGCGCGTCGTCGAAAGTTGCACGTCGCTAAACTAATGCACGAATCGAGAGAAGCCGAGCGAAACGAGAACTCACGCCAGGTCGCGCGAAGCGAAAGCCTAGTTGGCGGCTCTCTCGTTAGACTCGCGAGAGATGTCGATTTCGCGCAATACGCGACGCCGGAAGAGAATCAAGACGTTTACCAGCGATTGTTATTCGATCAGGCGTCGAAAGCGCCCCGACCGGACAGACGATTCGCTAGAGTTAGCTCGTTCAAGAGAAAGAAACAGAGCGAAATCGCGCGCAAAAAGATTCGTTCCGACAATTCGTGGATCGGGGAAACTCCTAAAAGGGATGTTCTCCTGACGTTGAACCCGCGTCAAGACCTCGACGAGAACGTACTCTCCTCGAACGACTCGATCCGGTATTTGGTACCCGACGAAAATCGCTGTCGGAACATCGCGTCCTACAAATCCGTCGTGGACGAACTGAAAAGACACGCGTCGAACAATGCCGAGCGAACCTGGTCGAGCGACGGTCCGCGAGTTCCGCTCTCGCCGTCTCTCTACAAACAGATATTGATAGGCGAAGCGCTGAAATTGACCCCGGTTAAGCAGAGACGCGTTATAGTAAGTAAGAAACGTAAACGGAACAGCATCGTGCGCCGTGCCGTTAACGCGCGCAAACAAAGGCACTCGCGATCGAAACGAGGCGGAAGCACGCGGAAAACGTTCGGATATTTGGGTAGTCCGCCTAGCACGACTGTATCGTTGCTAGAACCGTCGCCCGAGCATGACGTTTCTATCTCGCGCGCGTCCGACACCGCGTTACGGAAAATATCCAAATCCGTAGACGATCTAGCGACCAAAATCGGCAAAAGAATCTCCTCGCCGTTCAAGCTAACACGAGCGAGAATCCCCGACGATATAGTTCGTTGGAGGGACGAGAATCAAAACGATCTATCAACGTCACGTCCGACCAGTAACTGTTCGAAACGTTTCTTTCGAAACGCTAATGCCGCGGATTCCAACAAGAAATCGAACGAGCACTCTAACGTTTTCAAGCAACGCGAGTCTACGATTAACGCTTTCGAAGAGTTTCGTGGATCCTTTCTGAACGCTAGCGACACGACACCGACCACGCGTTCGTCCTCGATACCGACGTCTCCGCCGACGACCAAACTGAAACGCGACAGTACTTCTGGAAGCAATGGACAGACGGTTTTAAAGAAAAAACATCGAAGAAAGATTTGGAAATTCTGGTGATGGAACTATTCACGTCATTGCATTCTTTCGGAATGACGGGACACATAAGACGGACACTGATTTCTTCGAATCTTACAAAAAAGACTGCTTTCGGTGCTGTGATTATTGTATTTTTTTATGTCGCCACGAGACAGAACAAATTTTATGCGTACGACAGGCTTATTCGCGACGAGCGACATTTTACGCGTTACCTATTTGCATTTAAAAAATTTTTATCAAGAATCTCGATGCGTCATTGACATTGTAACAATGAATTTTTTTATGAAAAATTGTTAAACACGACCGACTGTCACGGACTTGTACCTATTTTTTTGTAACGTTATATTTTACCGACCAATTTTGATGCGCGTAAACTTGTATCGATCTGTTGTAATCCTACTCGTTGTTAATACCGTGATATTAGAGTCAATAAAGAGATTTGTTGCACCATCGAGGTAAACGATAACTTGCCTGTCACACGTGGCTCGTTTTAACCGAAATAAACGGTGAAGTAGGATATATCGAGATTAACTTGGACGGACAGCGATTTCGAAAGCGATCGCACGTAACGCGGACCGACGACGAGTTTAAACGGACGCAATGGCCGCGATCGTGTCAGGGAGGAATCGAAACAGCGTAAATATTCATGTTTTTCTTTACTTTTGCAGCAGAGAGAAGAGCACAGCTCAATAGAAGTCGATCGCGTACGGGATTAGTTGGAACTGGTTTACTGGGAAGAGAACTTTCGACGTAAGTATCCGGCCGACGCGACGCGACGTTAACGCGGACCAGGACGTCGTTGAAAAGTTTCCGTTCCACGAGAACCGTACGGTTTTATTCGTTCCTCTTAGATTACGACTATCGTTCGATCGCAAAAGGTACGATCGTGAATCGCGAACGCGTTGGCTCGAATTACCATAGAGAAGAAAGAACAGAGCGACACTCTCGAAATAATACATTGCGTAATGTGTTCATTGTTGCAGAGAACTTTTAAGCTCGGCGTAATCCATGGAATAACCCGTTTCCGTCCTAAACTCGAAACTGTGATGGATCGAATCTTCGTTTTATCGATATTCCGATAAAAAATATGCTCGGTGAAAAGGCGGTAGAACGTTGCGAAACGCTAGCGTGACGACTCGTTCGCGTTTACGGGATGCGTTTCCTTCGCGTTACGATTCACTTGACAAAGTCTTCCTCTTACTGCCCGAAACCTTTAGAAACGATCGTCGCACGGTATAAAGCGACGCGCGTACTTGGGAGGACTTGGAAAGAAGTAGAAGAAGACGAGAGCGACTCGTTTAGTTAATTTCTGTACAGCTTTTTTTCTACCAAACGAACGATCGATTTTCTATTTTTTAATATCGCTTCGATATCGCAGCGACGACGTAAATACGATTTTCTGTGAACGCGGAATATATTATAGTGTACATACACGGATAATAGGATGTACGAAGAGATACATGTACGTATGTATACGCGGATCGCGCGTGGTCGCATTTTGAACACCGACCGCGAATACGATACGTACGGCTTCTTTTAGCGAATATTAGTCCGTTCACGTGCCCGGATCGCCTTTTGTTTCCGTGAAATTTCAGAACCGTGCCAAATCGACGAAACCTTAAAAAAGAGGAACACAGAATCGCGCGAAACGAGATCGAAGTCGAATCGACGAATTTACAAAGAAATATTTTGGGACCGTACGCGTACGATTAGCTGCGGTAACGAAGACCAATTTTATTTTTCGAATCTCCGAATGAACTACCGTTTATACCGTATCTATTAATGCGAATGTTAAGGAAGTTGTATCTATATTGTGAATATGTGATTTTAGATAGCATCAATACATTACGATCAACATAATCGACCGCCAGGTGTTTTTATTTCACGAACATCGGTAGCGATCTCGCGTTCGATTCGGACGAATATCGTGTGTACGTGCAGAGAACGCGCGCGCCTCTATCGACGCATCGGTGAAACCGCGCGATCTCTTTTGGAAGAACGCGAAATCGTTGGACGAGCGATCGTTCGTTGGTCTGTTGGCCGCACGGATCGTTAAGGATTAATTGGAATATCTTGTTTTCTCGATTGTTCCGGGTGCATGCAACGAAGAAGCCCCGCAACGGCCAACTGCACCGATGTCGGTGTTTGTATAGCGCGTGCGCGTGCGTGCGCTTGCGCGTGCGTGCGCGCGTGTACTCGCACACCTGCGGGAGAACGGTTGAATCTATCTACAGGCGAGGTCGCTTATTCGTACGTGCAAACACGTATCCTGTACCTTTCTCGTCGTACGCGTGCCGTGGGTGAATCGATGCACTTCCAACGAACAAATACGCGATCGAGCAACGTGTTTCCAGTGTTTTCAACGTTTTCGGTGCTCGTTCCGGTGTGTCGCGATTCGTCGATCTCCGAATCTGTCTTCGGGACCGGGTTACGCGTTCTCGATCTCGGAACCGCCGTCGAAACAATACGTTTCGGGACACGATCGAAAGCCGTGACACGAGCGAACGCGCGAGCACGAACGCCCGCTCGCCCAACCAACGAGACTTTGAACATTCAAGTATCTCGAACCGATGGCTCGTGACGCGCCCTCGTTCAGTCTCGTCACCGGGAAGGAAAACGTGTTTGTCGCTTCCATACAACGTCCAAGAGTCGACGGCGCAACGCCGAATCTCAGCTGGACGAACAGTCGATGCACAACTTTAAATTCTCGTTTTCCATACGAATCAGTCGGTGACGTTCGATCGGCCGAATCGGTGTTGTATTCGTAAACGCTTGCCTAATTAGTTCGTGGGAAGGAACAGAAAATTTCGAGTTGGACGCGAAAACTCTCGTTCCCGATTTTTCATCGTCGATCGTTGACGCCCCGATCAATCGTGTCGCGTTTCAACGACGAAACGCGTCGCGCTATCGATGTAATATGCAAAGGATACAATGAACGTCCCCATCGTTGCGGGAGACATCGTCGACGACGATACCCACAAGCCGCGTTTTATTCGGGTAAGTAGAGTCCTTTCGATATTCCACGTATCCTTAGAAACGTAATCGCGTACGGATACAGAAAATTTCGTTGTACAGTGAAAAACGTATGCGTGCGTAGGTAACGCCCGATTGAGTCATAACGTCAAAACACTTCTGCGTGTTTCGATCTCGTTGATTTTATTTGGATTTAAAAACATGACTATCTCCATACACTCCACGTACGCGTGCACGTACGTGCTTTCCAAGATGTATTTCAAACAAATCGCAACCGATCGCTTATCGCTGTTACGACGTATCGTCGTTGAACGTAAGTAGTGCGCCATCTTTCAGATTACCGTCGAACAACAACGAACGCTAAATATATTTTGAACAATGATAAAAAACGTAGCGCGATATTTGACTGTACGGTTCAGAAACGTCTGGTAGGGTTTTGGAAACGTTAGATTGTTCGGATTCGTTTTCGTGCGCTTATCGATTATTTGAAAATGTCTCGTCGTTATGTTGCGCTTAATCCGGTCATTAACGTACTACAGTCAATTCGGTAGGTGAAACGCGGAAGAGCAAATTTCGACTTTCTCCGTTTAAAGCCATAAAATATCTATTTGGCGCGTTCGATCTACCATAGAGATACTGTAACGATAAATTGAACGATCGTTACACGAAATGGTAATACGACGACCGACGCTGCTATTCTATTCTTTACAATTCTGACATTTTCTTCCGCCACGAATATGAAACGCGCGCCTCCGATAATTTTAACAAGGTTTAACTCGAAGGTTTTTAAAACAGAACGAATCGAGTGAAGCTTACGACGGACACTTTAAATACGAACTGAAACACAAATTGAAATTTTGAATCGTACATGCGATTCGATTGGAGTCGAGCGCGAGACCAAGATACGGAATTAACCGAAGTTGTCCGAAACGAGCACGACGCGTTAAAACGAAGTTTGCCGAACGGCGTAAATGTTGGCGAGGCCTGACAAAGAGGAAACGACGAGGAGAAGGGGAAAGAACAAGTCCCGATCGGTCCCTAAGCAGAATAGGATGGAAGGTGAGCAACCGGTGGCCGGTGGGCCGTGTTGCGCGCTAGGTTGGTGCGCGTCGATCGACGCGAGTCGACGCGACGGTGATCCGTAAATCTTCTCGGTCTTGTTCTCGGTCGCTCCGTCTCTCTTTCTCTCTTAGCCCCGAATCCCTTTTCCCCCCGGCGGAGGAATCGCGATCCTCGCCTTTCGTTCTCCCTCCTTTTCGCGAACGCGATACCGTTCGCCAGCCCTGGGAATTCCGCTTTCCCGTAGAAAAGAAACGCACCGCGGAAACGTCGTACGCGTACTTTCGTCTCGTCCGTGAGTTTTCGTCGTTCTCGAACTTCCTGTCGCGAGTGGATCGATATATTTCTCTCGTCGATCGGCCGGTACAAAGACACCTTACATCGTCGAGTCATGTAATCGAAGGAGAGACGGGTTCGTCGTCTGATCCGGTCGCGAGTACGAGATCGCGTCGAGCCAGCGTATCGAACGAACGTAGTTCTGCGTACGGAATTCGCGCGTTCGGAATTTTTTATCGGACGTGCGTCCAGAAAGAGGGATTAAGAGGGAGCGAGAAGAGGCGGAGGAACGTCAGGAATCTGAATGCGACGGCACGAACGTGCAGCGATCCCGGTGCCGATCGCGAATCGGACGGTAAAGCCTTGGCGAACGTTCGATAACGTTCTATTCAACCTAGAAGCATGTTGATCCTTCCGGACTTGAGGTTGCAGGTAAATCAGACCCCGCCTTAATTTCGATTCTTCTTCCTCGCAAACGAAATATTTCTCGACAGCTTCAAGTTCCTTTTCTTCCCCATTGTTCACGCGCTTTGACGTTTCCAGAAGTTTCCGTGCATCGTTGCAAAAGAATCGCAAACAGACGCGGACAGAGAGACGAAGAACGGTCGACCGAACGAGGTTGAACGATGCTAGAGGCCGATGAAAGAACCCCGCGTTTCCGGTTTGAACGCGAGCGTAAACGGCATGCCTCGAATCCGGTAGAGCGTGCCTAGTCCGCTGAACTCTCGACGCGTAACGCGTAACCCGTAACGCGACTAGTTCTCGCTGGCAAAAGCGCGGGATTACGAGAACGCCGCGCCACTGCGGCGGCACGCCGATACCTGGATTCGATCGAACGTTCCGACCCCGAATTTTCGAAGCCCGTCGCGGCGTATCCGTGAACGTCGTCGTTCAAGAAAGAATCCCGTTAGTGGACCGAATCTCGTCGCGTCGAACTCGTTTCTTTGGATGCTCGCGCGTTAACGCGGACACTCGCGCGGAGGTCTTCGACTCGGTTCCGGCTTCGTCGTCGTTCCGCTTCGTGGTCGGTCGAGTCCAGCGCGTCCCGTTGCTCCACGTTATCGCGGAATTCGATCGAATCGATGAATTATCGCGAACTCTGTTAATCGACGGCGAAGCGCGTCGACCTTAAAATTACGTCGCTAGGTAGAAGCCTCCGCGTCCGAGTAGGGAGATAGAGCGGACGTTATCCTTCTCCCCACCATCGGTGCCGAAGTTTCTCTCCTTTCACCGAGAAGCAGCTGGCTCCACGGAGTCGGCGGTAGCCTCGGGAAACGATGTACCGCGGAAGCTACGTCGGACTTGTTTTAGTCGTCGGACGCGTTTACGCGTAACGTTGACGTTGCCGGACTTCGATTCTGATCCGGTCGCGAGTACGAGATCGCGTCGAGCCAGCGTATCGAACGAACGTAGTTCTGCGTACGGAATTCGCGCGTTCGGAATTTTTTATCGGACGTGCGTCCAGAAAGAGGGATTAAGAGGGAGCGAGAAGAGGCGGAGGAACGTCAGGAATCTGAATGCGACGGCACGAACGTGCAGCGATCCCGGTGCCGATCGCGAATCGGACGGTAAAGCCTTGGCGAACGTTCGATAACGTTCTATTCAACCTAGAAGCATGTTGATCCTTCCGGACTTGAGGTTGCAGGTAAATCAGACCCCGCCTTAATTTCGATTCTTCTTCCTCGCAAACGAAATATTTCTCGACAGCTTCAAGTTCCTTTTCTTCCCCATTGTTCACGCGCTTTGACGTTTCCAGAAGTTTCCGTGCATCGTTGCAAAAGAATCGCAAACAGACGCGGACAGAGAGACGAAGAACGGTCGACCGAACGAGGTTGAACGATGCTAGAGGCCGATGAAAGAACCCCGCGTTTCCGGTTTGAACGCGAGCGTAAACGGCATGCCTCGAATCCGGTAGAGCGTGCCTAGTCCGCTGAACTCTCGACGCGTAACGCGTAACCCGTAACGCGACTAGTTCTCGCTGGCAAAAGCGCGGGATTACGAGAACGCCGCGCCACTGCGGCGGCACGCCGATACCTGGATTCGATCGAACGTTCCGACCCCGAATTTTCGAAGCCCGTCGCGGCGTATCCGTGAACGTCGTCGTTCAAGAAAGAATCCCGTTAGTGGACCGAATCTCGTCGCGTCGAACTCGTTTCTTTGGATGCTCGCGCGTTAACGCGGACACTCGCGCGGAGGTCTTCGACTCGGTTCCGGCTTCGTCGTCGTTCCGCTTCGTGGTCGGTCGAGTCCAGCGCGTCCCGTTGCTCCACGTTATCGCGGAATTCGATCGAATCGATGAATTATCGCGAACTCTGTTAATCGACGGCGAAGCGCGTCGACCTTAAAATTACGTCGCTAGGTAGAAGCCTCCGCGTCCGAGTAGGGAGATAGAGCGGACGTTATCCTTCTCCCCACCATCGGTGCCGAAGTTTCTCTCCTTTCACCGAGAAGCAGCTGGCTCCACGGAGTCGGCGGTAGCCTCGGGAAACGATGTACCGCGGAAGCTACGTCGGACTTGTTTTAGTCGTCGGACGCGTTTACGCGTAACGTTGACGTTGCCGGACTTCGATTCTCGTTCGTTCGTCGGCGAGAAACACGACGAACGAACGGAACGGGCAAAAGGGGAGTGGAAGAAAGGGTAGGATCGCGATCATCCTTCCTCTGCGTCCGCACGGTAACTTCCGTGAACAAGCGTTTCGGTTGGGCAGGTCGGGTATCGCAGCCGAATCGACGGAGACGATCCCTCGATTCGACGCTCGGAACGGACACGATATAGCGCTCGATCGGAGGAGAAAGATGCGGCCGCGAGCACGTATACTATGTTGAAGTGGGCCTATTACGCGACTCTGTCGAAGAAACGCGCGTCTCTGCCGATCGCGTTGGACGAACGGCAACGGGGGAACGAGAACGAGAGAGAGAAGAGGACGGATCGCGAAAACTCGTCGACGCGATATTCGCGAATAGAAAAAGCTTCTTCTCGTTCGAAGGACGTCGAGGTTTCGCGAGAATCGCCAACGAGAAAATACCTCGGGGTGAGAAAACGCGAGAACACCGACTCGTCGTTTCCTTCGCTTTCTCGATTCAGCGTTCGCCGATTCGCAGTCCGTACGCGAGCACGTATCTCACGATCGATTAGTACCGCCGATAATATCGATAACGAACATTGTAACGTTGTGCAGGGTTCCGATCCGAGGGTGGCCACCTGCCGAGGAAAGCTGCAAAACAAGCGCAGCAAGCTGAATCAGGAGATAAACAAGGAACTTCGATTGCGAGCCGGCGCAGAGAACTTGTTCAAGTAAGAGAGTCGTTTCCGCGTACTCGACTCGTCCGAGTAGCGATTCATTCAGCTCGTCGATTCGTGTTTTAGGGCGACCACGAACAGAAAACTACGGGAAACGGTTGCTCTGGAGCTGAGCTTCGTCAACTCGAACTTGCAGCTACTGAAGGAGCAGCTCGCCGAGTTGAACAGCTCGGTCGAACTGTACCAAAACGTTGACAGGTTGGTAAGACGGTTCTCGATATTCGGTGTACCCTCCTGCAAACTCTTCCGCCTCTTTAAGCGTACGTACGCTTTTTCTGTTTTCAGCGATGAACCGGCAATGCCGATGATACCGTTGGGACTAAAGGAGACCAAAGACATCGACTTTCGGGACCCGTTCAAGGTAGGCGTCGCTAAAAGACGATCGTCGAAGCGATCCCCGGATTTCCTCATTCCAACGGTGGCACCTCCGACGAATCGTAATTGATCCGACTTTCCTCGAGTTTCGAGATCTCTTTTCTTCCTCCAGTCTCCCCGGTCCGACCTTTTACGATCCTCGAAAAGTCTAGATCGTCCGAAGCCGGACCGATCTCTAAGTATTCCCTCATCGACGTCGAGGATCGTTGCGGTTGTAGAGTACCAGAATGTTTCTCGTTTTTCACGAACGCGTTGCCGACGACCGGCACCGGCTCTAACCGCGGCATCGTCACGACCAACGTACCGTTCGTCGTGTTTCTCTCGGCAGTGCTGCCGCTGACCGATACTTCGCAAGGGAGAGTGAGCTGTAACGCCTTTCCCTTGATCGTAACGCGCACGTAGTTGGGCTGGACGTCCACGTCGAGGTGGCAAGTGTCCAAATACCTGAAAGCATGCGTGATTCGTGACCAGCGATCGCTTTCGCTGTTTCGATTTCGAATTATCGTGTCGTCTGGATCACTCACTTGTACACGGTAACTTCCAATACCACGCGATCCCCGTACCGTTCGTGGTCCAACTTGAACGGTACCTTTGGCTGATTCGTGTTGTACGGCCTGCCATCAGGACTGAATAATTTCTGTTCGTAATTGACCCGCGATTCGTTTTTCCGATTCTTTTCTCGATTTTTTAACTCCTGTTTTCGGGCCAATCGTTCCGCGATGGCAACGCGTTCTTCCGGCGTGTGATGACTAGTTCGTTTCCAGAATTTTTCATCGTCGGTGTCTTCGTCTACCTCCGCGTTTTCCTGAAAGAAACCGTAACGCGATCAAACGAACGTCATGGCAGCGTGAAATTTATCGACGCTAGAAAATTTCGAACAAGTCGAACCGATGAAGAAACGATCCTCCCGTGACCACGGAGAATTTCCGCTTTCCTAGCTTTTTCGTGTCTCGCGCAGCTCTCCGCGATTTCTCCCTCTAGACGAGCGTATGCTTGCAACGCTTTGATGCGTTCGGACCGTTCGATCGGTGTTCCGTCTAGCTCCTTCAGCTGCGGCAGCGTCGCGATCGAGTATTCTCTATAACCTTCGTAATCAGCGCACGGATTTCCCATCAAGAACAGTTGCTCCAATCGTTCGTTGCACCTGTTCGCGCAAGTCGCCTAGTTATCGACGATCGTACGCGAAATCGACCTACTTAATAAACGCTATCGTTTACCTTAACCTCTTGATCCCTCGTAGATCGCCGATAAAATTTACGGTTAAATCCAGCTTCTTCAAACTCTCCAATCCCTCCAAGTTCTCGATCGCTTCTATATTGTTCAACGCCAGATTCAGATACTCCAGCTCCTTTAACCTGCTGAGGTTCTCGATCCTCGACACGAGATTGTTCTGCAATAACAGAATCTTCAAATGCTTACACGTTTTATCGATCAGTTCGATCTTCTCGATGTTCTCTTGATGCAGAGCGATCTCTTCTAACGTAGATATTTCTCCTTCGTTGTGTTCCGAACGCTTTCGTATCAGATCGAGCGTAATCCTCGTCATGTTGACCGATGTCGTAACGTCCGCTGTCGACAAAGACGCGCGGCGGTCGCTAAGCAGCGCGGTAGCGTATCGACGTAACTCTAGTTAAACGATAACTCGTGTTTCGTCGTTCTATCATTCCCGCAGGACTTTATTCTCGAGCACTACAGCGAAGATGGAGGAAACTACGAAGAAGCGATCGCGGATCTCATGGAAACTCGCCAGGTAAGTGAAGCCTCCTGTAGACTGACATTGTGAACTGGGAAACACGTTTTCACGGCAAAACTTTACGTTTTCAGGCGACGCGAACACCGACCAGAGACGCGGCTGGCATCGCGTTGTTGCTGCGTTACTACAACCAGTTGTATTTCGTCGAACGGCGATTCTTTCCACCCGATCGAAGCTTAGGCATCTACTTCGAGTGGTTCGACTCGTTGACGGGAGTACCGAGTTGCCAACGGACCGTCGCCTTCGAGAAAGCCTCGATTCTGTTCAACGCGGCTGCTCTGTACACGCAACTGGCCGCCAAACAGAATCGTTTGTCCGCGAGAGGCTTGGATCAGGCGATCGACGCGTTCCTCAGAGCAGCCGGTACCTTTCGTTACATACACGAAAACTTCACCAACGCTCCGAGCATGGATCTTGGACCGGACATGCTCGAGATGCTGGTTCAATTGATGCTGGTACGAGTTCTTAACCCTTCCGCGCGAACCGTAACCGCGTTTCGTTTCTCCTGCTAATCTATTTTCGTTTCAGGCACAGGCAAGAGAATGCTTGTTCGAAAAATTGGAACTACAGTCGAGAGACGGAAGGAACATCGACGTGTCGTTGGACCTCGCACAGGAAGCGGCACAGGTAGCGAACCCGCATTTCTTTGCGTTCGCCGAAGGATCGTTCAACGAACCTCTTTTTACCGTCAACGTTTGCCTATCGTTTAGGTTGCGGCCGTGTGAATCTTCAAATGCTTACACGTTTTATCGATCAGTTCGATCTTCTCGATGTTCTCTTGATGCAGAGCGATCTCTTCTAACGTAGATATTTCTCCTTCGTTGTGTTCCGAACGCTTTCGTATCAGATCGAGCGTAATCCTCGTCATGTTGACCGATGTCGTAACGTCCGCTGTCGACAAAGACGCGCGGCGGTCGCTAAGCAGCGCGGTAGCGTATCGACGTAACTCTAGTTAAACGATAACTCGTGTTTCGTCGTTCTATCATTCCCGCAGGACTTTATTCTCGAGCACTACAGCGAAGATGGAGGAAACTACGAAGAAGCGATCGCGGATCTCATGGAAACTCGCCAGGTAAGTGAAGCCTCCTGTAGACTGACATTGTGAACTGGGAAACACGTTTTCACGGCAAAACTTTACGTTTTCAGGCGACGCGAACACCGACCAGAGACGCGGCTGGCATCGCGTTGTTGCTGCGTTACTACAACCAGTTGTATTTCGTCGAACGGCGATTCTTTCCACCCGATCGAAGCTTAGGCATCTACTTCGAGTGGTTCGACTCGTTGACGGGAGTACCGAGTTGCCAACGGACCGTCGCCTTCGAGAAAGCCTCGATTCTGTTCAACGCGGCTGCTCTGTACACGCAACTGGCCGCCAAACAGAATCGTTTGTCCGCGAGAGGCTTGGATCAGGCGATCGACGCGTTCCTCAGAGCAGCCGGTACCTTTCGTTACATACACGAAAACTTCACCAACGCTCCGAGCATGGATCTTGGACCGGACATGCTCGAGATGCTGGTTCAATTGATGCTGGTACGAGTTCTTAACCCTTCCGCGCGAACCGTAACCGCGTTTCGTTTCTCCTGCTAATCTATTTTCGTTTCAGGCACAGGCAAGAGAATGCTTGTTCGAAAAATTGGAACTACAGTCGAGAGACGGAAGGAACATCGACGTGTCGTTGGACCTCGCACAGGAAGCGGCACAGGTAGCGAACCCGCATTTCTTTGCGTTCGCCGAAGGATCGTTCAACGAACCTCTTTTTACCGTCAACGTTTGCCTATCGTTTAGGTTGCGGCCGTGTACAACGACGTCCATAGGCTAATTTCGCGCGAGCCAGTCCGAGACTACGTTCCGGAAACTTGGATCTCGCTGATCTCGGTGAAACGCGAGCATCACTTGGCTCTGGCTCACAAGCACCTCGCCCTCGGACTGTTCGATCGTTCGATCGCCGAATGGCGCCCGGAAACGAAGCTCGCGCTCGAACACGCGCAAAAGAGCGACGGAAAGACGCAACTGGACGTGATCGTGCCGCGGGACGATAACGAGAGGCAACTGTTAGGTGCGTAGTCTGCGAGAATCGACTGGCGACCTCGAGTTTGGACGATGGTTCGACGACGATTGGCCGTTTGTTTCAGGAAAAGCCCATTTCAGGGAAGCGACAGCGCTACACGAAGAGAGCCAGAGGCTACAGAGGATGTGCAGAGATCTGAAAGCGAAACAAGCGTTGGCCAAAGTTTTGAAAAAGGTGCAGGAATCGACGGTAGAGAGCTATAACTTGATCGGAGACGAGGATGATTTTCGAGGGCTACTGGATCCTCCGGATATTATCGGTAAGCGATGCCAGATCGTAAGAAATTTTTAATCCAGGCACTGTTCTAACGCATGGTTCTACGAATCGTTGCAGCTTCCACGAAGTTTCAATTGAGCATCACGCATCCAGACTTTGGGCAGCATGGAGTGGACGATCTTTTCAAGTCTTTGGGTCCAGTCGCCATATTTTCGGCCAAAAGGCACTGGACAGCTCCGCGATTGATACAGCTGCAAAGAGGTCCCGACGGCGAAGGTTTCGGCTTCAGTGTTCGCGGAGACGCTCCCGTGATAATAGCAGCGGTCGATCACAATTCGTTGGCCGACGTAAGTTTTGTCCGATTCAAATCTTCCAAGCCGATCTCCCAGCCGCGACGTGACGGAAATAATTGTTCTTGTTTCTCGGCACAGTTGGGCGGTATGAAGGAAGGAGATTTCATCGTAGGAATCGGTGACAAAGACGTCAAGTGGGCATCTCACGAACAGGTGGTTCGATTGATCAAGCAGTCGGGTGACTTTATAAATTTGAAGCTGGTTACGCCGATGGATAGAAATTATTTGAAGGTAAACGCGAGCCGAG